TCTTTATCTTTATTTGTAAATTAATTATAGTATTCACAGCTTTTTATTTTATTTGTGAAAATATGTTTGCGTATTTGCAGATCCGTTTTACATTTGCACATTTATTTGTGAGTTTGCAAATCTTATAAATGCATTCGTGGATGGTGTTTTACATTTACAAATCACATATTTACACACACATTATTTTTATGTTCACACAAATATGTATGAGGCAAATCTAAGCCCATAGTAGTAAAAAATTCATTCAAACCAAATGTATAAGTCCTTTACTTGCATAGTTTGCAAACAAATCAACCCATAGTAAAGCGTTGCTATTAATATCAAAAAGCTAATCGTTTCAATTGAAATGTTTATCCTTAAGGGTTGGAGAGATATACATTATATTTAAATATATAAACTAACTCTTATCATTGCAGGTCCTGCATTGTCCCGCACAAACACACTCTTTGCCCCACATGTGGCTTGTTATCACCTGGTCACCTATGGCAGCAGGAGCATCTCGCTGAAAGGCTCTATGCTTTCCAGTTTGGCCTCGGGGAGGGAAACTTGCAGAACATGTGCTAATGTGTTGTTGTTTAAGCTGGACAATGACACGGCCATTAGTTTAGCATTCCTAAAGAAGAACAGCTTCAGGTGAAGCTCATCCAGAGACAGCAGGCAGGTCCAGAGCGGCCCACAGAGCGGCTGCTGAGAGGAAGAGGCACCGGGGAGGAAACACACAGCGCAACAGCCACCCCTTAGAATCAGAATCGGTTTGATAACTAGTAGCTTTACACACACAAGGAATTTACTTTGGTGTAACATCTGCTATACTGCTAGTTAGTATAGCCTACAATAAATAAAAGTCAGCTGAAATAATCATCCTCACTATTTCAAATTGTCTCTGGTCTAAATCTAGTCTAATCCAAATCTAATTTGAGCCTATTGTTGAGCCATGTCTTGATTTAACAAACTAATGTATATATAGGAAACTGAGCTTGTGCTTTTACCTTCGCTCAGTGGTGAAAATCTTTCTTGCTTATAAATCAGGTTGTTGACTGAAAGCGTACATGTCTTCAGATATTTCCCTCAGTATAAAAGGGAAAGCAGCGTACAGTGCGCTCCTGTTGCTCTGCAGCTGCCTGACTCTGATTGATTGGTTGATTGAAAAGTGTATTAACAGCTTGTATATTGGGTACAGTACAGTACAGCTCAAAACATACAATTGTTAAGGGGATGCAGACCAGAGAAAGACTTTCGTCTTGTTTACATCAGGGTCCCCCATTTCCAATTCATCATTCATCACTTTGCTCTGAGCTGGCACTAAAACCTGACACATGTAAAACAATATACTGTGTGTTCATATCCTGATCACACAGTGGAACCAGATGTGAGAATCAGAGCTACCGAGCAGAGCTTAGACCAGCTCCGGATCATTATGGGTAATACAGGCGTGCAGAACGAATATAGAATCATGGGGGGGGCTGATACAGGAGCAGCGTTGTGTGAGGAGCTGTTGGAACAATGAGTGGTCAGAAGCTTTTTAAGAGCTGCGGTCATCACTGCAGCTCCAAGGTCAGAGGGATTAAGCTGCATTCCAGTGACGTAGGAAATTAGAGTTGGAAAACAGTTGAATGCTAGCTGAGATGAACTTAAGTAAAAAGTACCATAACTGTTTTAAAGAGTAACTGGTAACTGACCTCACATGAATGGAGCATTGAATAACTTCTATGTCAGACATGCACTGATCTTGTTTTCTGTATGTCATTAGGGTATCAAATAAATAATGATCATGCAACCAAATGCAGATTAAAACTAAAGTAACAAGTCTGTTTTGAAAATGTAAGAAGTAGAAAGTAGAGATATTTGTGTTAAAAATGAAAGAAGTAAAAGTAAAGAGTTGTCAGAAAAGTTGAGTAAAGTACTGATACCAGAACAATTTACTTAAAGGTGGGGTAGGTCATTTTGGAGAAACCAGCTTGAGTGCGCTAAAATTTGAAAATACACAGCCGGAAAAAATCTGCCACTTCCTCACAGAGCCCCTCCTCCAACACACACGAACGCGCACATGACCAATGAGGGCACGAGATAAGTTTGAGCACAGATGGAAGGCTGACAGGCAGGTAGCCCATCCAGTTACTTTAGCCGGGCCGGCTCAGATGATTGGTCGTGCTTTTTACAGCTCCACGGCTTCCAGAGATGAGATGTTTTAATGGATTTGTTGTCAAAGCACTTCAGATATTCATTGCTATCAGGATGTTAAGAGCATTCCATGGAATATAACAAAAAGTATATCTCGAGCCGGTTTCTCAAACTTACCTACCCCACCTTTAAGTACAGAATTGTAATAATTTGTACTTCACTACTTCCCACCTCTGACAATCAGCACGTTTTACTGTCAGATGAGAATATACATGTTTTCTCTGTGAATTCAGTACAAAGATAGTGCAGCTCTTTGTTCAGAACACAACCGATGGGAGCAGGAAGGTACTGCAGGATGAAGTTGGAAACAGTTGTGTAAAGTTCTTCAGTGAGGTACACTTTGAGAGGATTCAGTGTTTCCATTCTGTGATACTTTAAGCCTTCGTCTGCTGCCCATCTGTCTTAGGATATGGAAAGTGGACCTGAGGAACACATTTATTTCAGACAGACCTATTAACAAAGTCTAAGAATTGAAAGTGTGTGCTAAATAGTTTAGGAATTGCTCAGAGAAAGATGTCAATGAGTTGCAGAAGATCTCATTATCATTAGATTTTGAATGATAAAGAACTGGTTTACAGTTTTAGAGTGTAATAGCAGTTCTCTCATGCACATTCAGAGTTATTGGTGTCTGTCACACTGTCTTTAAAGCAATCTCTATCACAGTTCCAATGTTAGAGATGATGATAGGAATCGAGTATGTGTAAAATAGGTTAAACCAACTTAAAGTTACATTCCGTATAGTTCACAATTTCTCTTTGTGCTGCGACCCTCTGGCCAGAGGCATGTTTTACTAAAAACACTGAGAGTACCCGCTTGAGCTATCTAAGCCTCACATTAGCTTCAGGTGAAAGCACAGAATGGGGACAGTGTTTTTTTTTTTGAAACCGAAGAAGGGATCGCTTCAAAGTCAGCCAGACAGGAAGAATGGTGTGAGTAACATCTTCTGAAAAACAGCATTAAGGAACCCGAGCCTGTTCAGCGGCACAGCGAGCCTGTTCAGCGGCACAGCGAGCGTGTTCAGCGGCACAGCGAGCCTGTTCAGCGGCACAGCGGGCGTGTTCAGCGGCACAGCGAGCGTGTTCAGCGGCACAGCGGGCCTGTTCAGCGGCACAGCCTGTTCAGCGGCACAGCGAGCCTGTTCAGCGGCACAGCGAGCGTGTTCAGCGGCACAGCGAGCGTGTTCAGCGGCACAGCGGGCCTGTTCAGCGGCACAGCGAGCCTGTTCAGCGGCACAGCCTGTTCAGCGGCACAGCGAGCCTGTTCAGCGGCACAGCGAGCGTGTTCAGCGGCACAGCGAGCGTGTTCAGCGGCACAGCGAGCCTGTTCAGCGGCACAGCGGGCGTGTTCAGCGGCACAGCGAGCGTGTTCAGCGGCACAGCGGACCTGTTCAGCGGCACAGCGGGCCTGTTCAGCGGCACAGCGAGCGTGTTCAGCGGCACAGCGAGCCTGTTCAGCGGCACAGCGAGCGTGTTCAGCGGCACAGCGGGCCTGTTCAGCGGCACAGCGAGCCTGTTCAGCGGCACAGCGAGCGTGTTCAGCGGCACAGCGGGCCTGTTCAGCGGCACAGCGAGCCTGTTCAGCGGCACAGCGGGCCTGTTCAGCGGCACAGCGAGCGTGTTCAGCGGCACAGCGAGCCTGTTCAGCGGCACAGCGAGCGTGTTCAGCGGCACAGCGAGCGTGTTCAGCGGCACAGCGAGCGTGTTCAGCAGCACAGCGAGCTTCAATAAATGGAAAAAAAGACATGTAACAACGGCTCCACATTTGCAATGGTGAGATGTTTTTATTCTCATAAAGCAATCAATGAAGTGTATATATACGATTTTTTCTATAAATATAAAGGTTCTCTTCATAACAAATGCAAAGGAAATAACTTCAAAGCTGTGACTTTTGTACACAATAAAAGGATTATCATGAACCGGAAGCACGGCGTGGAAGAGCGTTTGACAAGAACACAAGTGGTGATGTGTGTGTGTGTGTGCTCTGCATCAACACAAGGCTTCCTTTCTCTGCTCTTCACAGTGCAGACAGCAGAGATGTTCAGCGGGATCAAATGACTCTGCACATCACCCAGACGGCTCTACACTCTCTGACACATTCAACCTCCAGGTTCAGAAGTGCCGGTACAGAAGAACCACAAATATGCTTTGTTACAAACATTTCTGATATGTGCATGAAAACAACCCCCCCCCCCCATCAGCTGATTGAACCATGTTTACAGTGCCATGGTGATGTTTGGACACCCTTTAAACCATCTGCTGTATGATGATGATGATGATGATGACTCAAATAAAGTTACAATTCATTTGGAAGTTTAAATATATGAAGACAATCTTTTATCCATTATGCTGTTCATAGACAAAACATGAATACTATTTCACTTCTTTCTTTTTCCTTTAACCTAAGCTGTCCATAAGCCTCATTTTCTATAATATGCTCATGATTACTAAAACTGAACCCAGGCTGCACCCTAAACTTTGTCAACATTTTGAAACTGGTTCTCAGCTTCTGATGTCAATAAAAGCCTAAATGATGTTTGGAACCTGCAGTTACAGCCTATACATGTAACAGCTGGTCATTAACAATGTCAACACTAACAATTACTCTTAATCAATAATTAACAGATTATTTATGTCAGAACATTTCAAATGCATTTGATTGAACATGTCAAAGGTGACTAAGCAAACTGTAATGTCCAAAGGGTGTCCAAGGATTTTACACAGCACTGTATGCAGAAACATGATTTTGATATAGAATGTGATCAACACACACACACACACACACACACACACACACACACACACACACACACACACACACACACACACACACACACACACACACACACACACACACACACACACACACACACACACACACACACACACAGTCTGCTGTTAGATTCTGTTTCCCAGCAGTGCATGTTAACGTCTCAAATGACCATTACAGGCAGATTTAAAGTTCAGTGAACAGCCATTCAGTCCATATAAATGCGGTTTAAAATCACTTTTTTAAAGAAACACCCCCCAGTAATTTTGCATGTTTTAGACCCTTGCAATAACTTACAATTGTAACTCAGCTGGCCATGTCACACCATGCTAAAAATGGTGTTGTTTACATGTTTTAATTCTTACCAGGGTCTTCAAACTTGTGAGTTAACACATCAGTGAACATCTTATCTGCTTTCATTTCAGTTACACTTGTGAAATTGTTGCATGATATTGCCAGGTATCTTTACATACACCTGTATTATGCAGCAATAACACACGTGCATGTGCAGTGATGGTGGTCACTGTGCAGGAATACCATGCCATTTTAAAATGACTTGTGATTATTCATGAATTGTAGCTAAAAAAAAGGTAGTGAAACAGGACAAACACAATGCAGTTTGCCTGAGGTTATATGTGTAAACTCAGAAACTGAAACTAGCATGGTGTGTGAACCTGGTGTTGGAAAGGAATGATAGAACTGTCGGGGATACAGACCACCAGCATCTGTCACAATAGCTCACATTCACAACTTGTGCACCGTTTGCCGACATTCCCCTTCAGACCCAGAAAACTGCTGCTCACACACACACACACACACACACACACACACACACTCCAGCTGGGTAGAAAACTGCTACACACACACACACACACACACACACACACACACACACACACACACACACACACACACACACACACACACACACACACACACACACACACACACACACACACACACACACACACACAACACACACACACACACACACACACACACACACACACACACACACACACCACACACACACACACACACACACACACACACACACACACACACACACACACACACACACACACACACACACACACACACACACACACACACACTCTCCAGCTGGGTGATGAGGATGAGGAGCCACGAGGAAGCACTCTGGTTTCACGGGACTCGCTCAGAATAGAGCCAGCACTCGCAGGCAGCCCACTGATCAAACACACAATGAGATACTCCACTGGGGTCCACAGTAAGTCAGGTCATGGGACCCCGGACCATTGAAGGTCAGCTGGTTCTTTGTGATTATTAAGTACAATTCCATTATGTCCGAAGTAGGAAAAAAGGAGTTTTTAAAAAACATTTTAAAATCTTTAAATACAAATATATACTTACAAAAATCTCACAAATGTATATGTACATAAAAAAAAGAAAGAATTGTCTTTAAGTCCAAGAAAAAATCAAGAGAAGAGGTGGACTATCATTCAGTCTGTCAGCAGTGTAACCCCCCCCCCCCCTCACACTGTGGTCTCCCCCTGTTTACTGTTGGCCAGTCTCGTGTAAAACCTCCTCCAGGAGTTCAGGGTTTTCCCAGACCAGATCCAGAAGCCGGATGTGATGCCCACAATGAGCGTCATGAGGTACTTTATCATGAAGACGGTGAAGTCTGGACTCATGTTGGGGTGGTTCTGGACGGGACAGGGCACAGCGTAGGTCTTACAGGTCTGGCTGACCCAGGTCCTCTCCCACTGCTCCCTGAAGGCCTGCTCGTAGAAGTAGCAGGCGATGACGATGGTGGCCGGCACCGTGTACAGCACGCTGAAGATCCCTATCCGCACCATCAGCTTCTCCAGCTTCTCTGTCTTGGTGCCGTCGTGCTTCATGATGGTCCGGATGCGAAACAGCGACACGAAGCCCGCCAAGAGGAAGGAGGTTCCGATGAACAGGTAGACGAACAGCGGAGCCAGGACAAAGCCTCGCAGGGCGTCCACGCTGTTGACCCCCACGAAGCAGACCCCGCTCAGCACGTCTCCATCCACCTGCCCCACAGCCAGGATGGTGATGGTCTTGATGGCGGGGACGGCCCAGGCCGCCAGGTGGAAGTACTGGGAGTTAGCCTCGATGGCCTCGTGGCCCCACTTCATCCCAGCTGCCAGGAACCAGGTAAGAGCCAGAATGACCCACCAGATGGAGCTGGCCATGCTGAAGAAGTAGAGCATCATGAAGAGGATGGTGCAGCCCTCCTTCTTCGTGCCCTGCACCACAGTCCTTATGTCATTGTCGAACCTGTCATTGCACACCACCTTGTCCTCAAGTAGGAACCCCGCGATGTAGGCGATGGACACCATGGTGTAGCAGCCCGACAGGAAGACAATGGGCCGCTCCGGGTAGCTGAAGCGCTTCATGTCCACCAGGTAAGTCAGCACAGTGAACATGGTGGAGGCACAGCACAGCACGGACCAGATCCCGATCCAGATCCTGGCGAACTTCAGCTCCTCCTCGTTGAAGTACATCATCCCGTGAGACCTCTTGGGCTCACAGGGAGCGCCGCAGTTCTCCTGCCCGAGGAAGCGGTAGTTCAGGTAGGGGGGCACCCGCAGCGAGGCCGGGCACCTGAACTGCCCGTGCATGGGGTGTTCAGGGACCGGGCGCGGGGTGGGGAACACATCGGGTCCGGGGCTGTCTCCCTCCGTGCGGTCGGACATGTTCTGCCCGACGCACAGCTCTCCCGCGCCGTGCACCGGGAAGGTCTCGCACGCGAGGCTGTCGGGCCACTGGAAGCCGAACTTGTTCATGAGAGCCTCGCAGCCCTGCCGCGCGCGCTCGCACAGAGAGCGGCACGGGGGCAGCGCCTGCTCCAGCACCGTGCACACGGGCGCGTACATGGAGCAGAGGAAGAACTTTAAATCCGGGGAGCACTGGACTTTAACCAGCGGGTAAAACTGGTGCACCTCCAGCCCCGCGTCCTCCTGGTTGGTGTGCCCGAGCAGGTTGGGCATGATGGTCTCGTTGTACGCGATGTCCGTGCACAGCGGAATGGAGATCGGCTGGCAGAACCCGTGCTCCGGTATAGACATTCCGCGGTCTCCGCCGTATTGCCCATTCACTCGAAAAATCCCCAAATTCACGAACAGAACAAAAAACTGTAAAGTCAAACCCGCGCGGAGGAGTCTGTGGTGAGCCATGGCGGGATATAGATCCAGTACTTTTATCCTGCTTCACTAATTTACGGCAGCAGGCTACTTCCTTGAACGCTCTTTGTTGGAGAGGAAATAATTCCTCCAGCTGATTTCATTCAAGTATTCCTTTCCTCAGGCTTCCCGCCCAGCGCAGTGCTACCACGGGGAAGAAAAGCCCCCGGATTTAAAAGGTAAACTCGGCTTCTCCGTTCCAAATCCACAGCAACAGCTCCGCTCAGGCTGTCCGGTGCTCAGGGTTCAGCCGCAGCGCCAGTCTGCCGCTCTGCCCGCTCCGCGCTGCCTCTCCCACTCTCAGTCAGGTTACCCGCCATGACTCAGCGCTTCCGGTCAACTCCTTCGAAATAAAAGCCTCTAATACAGCATGATACTGACTTGCTTTGAAATATGTTTGAAACTCAAATACTTACTGCGCATTATTACATTTATCATAAATGCACGGACCAGATCCCGATCTGGTCCGTGCATTTATGCTGGTCCGTGCATTTATGATAAATGTAATAATGCGCAGTAAGTAGCCTATTTGAGTTTCAAATAAATGATTTATGATATTGCTCATTGAAGCATGGGGCACAGCACAGCTGTTTATGTTTTAACAATGTGCGTATTCTGCCTGCTTGGAACTAACTCCTTGGAAATAGACATTTTGACTTTCAGATTAATTTAACTGGTAAAATACATTACATTTCATATGGCTGAGGCTTTTATCCAAAGCGACTTGCAATAAATAAGATACATGTACAATAATATCAACACATAAAAACCATGTAGGCCTACCTAGATATCATTATGTTTACAGAGTTTTATAATGTGCAATTTCCATAGTACTTTATACATAAATATAAAACTGTTATGAAAACTAAGAATCATATTCTAATATTGAATTGAGAACAATAAAAAAGAATAGATATTTGAGATCAAAAATCTTCTTTTTTGTTGCATAAACCTTCAGCATTTTATAAATGATTTGCCTGGATTAAAATAAATGATATCTATACATTACATTATATTTAAATGATAAACAACATTATACATTCTATTTATATAAAGATATCTATTTTACAATTATCAGCTTTGCCAGTATCGTATTACCTCTGCAATGTTTATGGATTATGGGATACATCCCGTCAAATAAACCACAAGTGCACTGAAATACTTCCTGTTTACATATACCTCACTTTGACTGGCTTTACCTCTCTCTCCCCCCCTCTCGTCGTCTCTCTCATCTCTCTCTAGCTAGAGGCTCGCTTCTCTCTCTACCGTTCTATCTTCTCTATCTCTCTCTCTCGTCTCTATCGTCTCTATCGTCTCTTCTCTCTCTCTCTCTTCCCCCTTTCTCTCTCTCTAGCTCCCTGTCTCTCTCTCCCTCTCTCTCTCTCAGATGGGAGGGGGGGGGGGTGTTAGGGAGGACCTGTATTTTCCCTCATGTTTTTGGATAGCAGAGGTTCTTTTCAGTTCGCTCCTCCTGTTATTGGAATGCTGGCTGGATGTAAAAGTCTGCCGAGCATTTAGAAGGAGACCAGTGTTTTGTGAGGTTTGGTTGCTTAGTGATTTCTGTACATTTAAAGCAAATGAATTGAAGGAAACTGAGAATAAATCAGTTATATACTTATTTAGGATTTGGGAATCTCTAATTTCCCCTTGATTATTATTTAAAGGTCACATAGTATACACCCTTACATACTGTAGTGTTAAATAGAACTCTTTACTGCCTGTCTAAATATAGCTGTATTTAGTCTCTTTCTGAACCTGCTCAGCTTTTCCAGGTCTTTGCTGTCAATCACAGCCTTTTTATGCACAAAGTAGACACACCAGCAGGAGTAGCTACACCAGCTGAATGAACAGTAGGCTACAACAGGCAGAGACATGGCTAAACCTGAAGCTTCCAGTATTTACGTGTCATCACAGAGAGTTAGTACCGACCCCTTCCACAGCAGGTCCAGTGGTGAAGGCTGCTGCCAACAGGACCGCCGGAGAGGCATCATTTTCATGTGTGTCTGCCAATCAAGCAGTGGCGTAACTATCGACGGTGCAGCCGATGCAACGCACCGGGGCCCAGAGCCGGCCAGGGGCCCATGCAAAAAAGAAAAAAATGAAAGAATTGTTTATATATATCTTTAAAAAAAAAAAAATGTGGGGATCCCAATGGCATTGACCGGTTCACGCAATCTTCAAAGTAACCAAGGAACCTAAAGTTATTTGTATTTATATGTCCAATGACCTTGCTCCCTTTCATGTCATGTGATACCTTGCGTGACGAGCGAACCGTTTAATCAACCTGTACTGTAGCTAGCAGCAGCAAGTTCGGCAGCATTATAACAAATGTAATAGCTTGGATTTATAATGTACAGCAAACCAAAGCACAAGAGCGGCACTCAAAAGAGAAAGGACAAGAGAGAGTGTATGTCCGTGCGTGTGTGAGCGCATCAGCATGCGCTTATGTTTGGGGCGATGGGGGGGGGGCAAAACAATATTTGCACCGGGGCCAATCACAACCTTGTTACGCCACTGCAATCAAGTGGGCAATCTCAGGAAATACCCTCTCAAGATGGACATGGATCCAGACGATGAAGGACAGGACGTTCAGTGACCTGGAGCTTCTACCTCTCTGTGTGCAGGCCTAAGAACCAACGAGTCCTCCAACTCATACGACCAAATAGGTCGATTGTTCAAGGCCTTATTACGACCAAATAGGTAGATTGTTCAAGCGCTTATTACGACCTATAATCACGTTTTTAAATGTTCGACCTCTAGTGCTCCCGTTGAATGCAAACGCTACGGAGGGTCGTATATTCATAACCCTCCTAAATTGTAGGATAGTTTGGCTATTAAAATGATTTTTGATTCGATTTCTAGCAGGAAGTGTATATTGTAGTTTTAGAATCCACGTCCAGTGGATGTGTAGTATCTATAGTTTTATAGATATTACGAAGATGATTTGAGGTCTCGCCAGGAGAACGTGTATATGCGGCAGCGTCCATGTAAAGTTAGCGTCAACACCAACACTCACGGGGTGAAAACACTACAGTATTTCCGGTCTCGAAGTTTTCATAATAAAACCGTATTCCCCTCACTATCAAATGATTTTAAAGCTATATCTGCAGTACTCATCCAGTAAAAACATCAGTTTATCCTTTACACAACATTAATTGGTTTAAATTGTGTACAATGCTTTTTTGTTTTTCCCATAGGTTTTGTCCCTTTCGATTCTGAGACACACATTTCTTTTTTCAGAGAAAAAGGCTAAAGCATGTTATTGAATTGTATTATTTGTATTATTAGATATTAATAGGATCCCTATAAAGTATATTCATTACTCGTTATTCTCTACTAATAGTTCATTAAAGACTGTATATAATGACTATTTTGCACATTCCTTTCAAGATTTTCAAAGGTTTATTGACATATCATACACAACTACGGTGTAGTTATGCAATGAATGAAAAACTTGGGTCGCAGGTTCCTCAACAGTGCATTACAAGATCAATATGTGTGTACCTCCACCATTAAACTGTCATATTCTGCACATTTCTTATACTGTCTACATACATAAGAGTATAATTCATATGTATAATATCAGTTAAAATAAGTGCTTCAACATAGTTAACATTGCAGGAAAGCAATATATTAGACGTTAAGTACTTTGTCAGGCTTAATATTTATCTGTAGATAGATACCCCCAACGCTTTTTTCTTATTCAAAAGAAGACCTTAACCTAAAGTATCCTTTAATGTTTAAATTAAGCCTTATTAGTTTGTCTGTTTTGCACATCCTCATATTCATATCTAATAATAAAAATAATAAAATTCAATAACGTGCTAGGTGTCCCTTTCTATCAGCTGTGCACCGTTATGGTGTAAATACAGCCTATCTACCAATTGGATCAAATATAAAAGTCAGCCGAATTAGTGTTGATACTGCAAGGAGACGTATTGTGTGAAAAGAAATGTAAGATTTTGTTTAATTGCTGATATATTTATGATCCACGTCACGTTTTCAGTTTTGGCGGCAGTTCTTACTGTTTGTCTAGAAGTCTTCTCATCAGGGCTCTATAAATAAAGAACTACGGCAGATATGTAATATTTAATGCAGCCGAACCGTGTATTACAATGCCGTTATGTGATGACTTTCAAAGAGAAAAGCAAGCACACTCGGAATGAAGTATTATTTTATTTTAAAAAAATGTTTTCGGATTTCACATCGTATACACACCATATCCCAACGTGCATTGTGGCCAAACCATCCAATCACCGAGCTGAGGATCTTGCCTACGTCTGTTTCCGGTATTGTTTATAACGGATGTATTTTGTTATATTATATTAATTGATTTAATACATGAATGTAGCCTTTGTTTCTGCTAAAAGAGGTGTCGACAAGCTGGGGCAACAAGAAAATCGAGTGTGACTATTACAAAATAAATCATTATTATATTAATATTGACAATAACAACCGACCGTCGTAAAACTGTCCAGCATCAGTAGAATGGCTTACGTGGTTACTTGTATAGGTTGAGGTTGTTCTAGGCTGTTGCTCAGCGTGGCGAGAATATTGCTCCACTTTCTCCGGTCCCCGAGATTCGGCTTTCAGTAGCTCTGGAGAGAGCTTTCACACCTGTGGCCACTAACGGTCATAATTTCTCTGCTTTGTTTCAAGACCCGCATCCGAAAGCTTTTGAATGGAGGTACTTTTCCAGTTGGTCTACCTGTATGGGCTCAGAACAGTCTCATAATACACACATGCACACAGAAGGATTCACACTTGTACTTCATGATCCGCAAAAGGATTCACACTTGTATTTCCGGATCCACACTTGTGTTTTTCAATGCACACACAAATGTGTTCCGTTTCATATACATGTAAATAAAATCCAAATACAGAAAAAAGTTTTACATATGTATTTTTGATCCTCACATATTTGTTTTCCGTTTAAAACCGCTGCACCTGCAAACACAAACCGCTTTCTGTGCACGGATCGCTGTGCATTCGTGTGTGGGTTTTTTGAGACTCCCCTGACGGTCAGCCGATTCCTACTTGTAATTGTTTCTATCTATAGCCAATCAGATGTCTCCTCAATTCTAAGCCAATCACATGAGCGCGCCCCCACGAGGGTAGATTTCTTGCGTTCATGACTAGCGCTTCATGTACGCATTTTGCGCAGTCCGGAGCTGACAGCTAATCTCAGGACACCCTCCACTCTCAGTACATTGCCACTTTCCGAACAGGAAATGCACGCAAATACAAGCCTTTATATTATTAAGGTATACCGCGCCACTTTCCAAACCATTGATGAATGCTTGTGTACACAAAAACGGCAGGCAAAACCGTTTTAAATGTGTGTTTCCTTTATGGCGAATAGGCTACAGCTGCTTTATTTATGTCTGTATGAAGTTGTTGTGAGTGTGGAGGGAGCAGCTACAGGTTAGTTTAGCCTAATCGATCAGTGCACTACGAAGCCAGTGCTAGACAGTGAACTGTCAACGGGGGGGGAGCCCCGCCGGTCATTATCGGCCGATATTCACTCTTAATAGTTTGATCGGTGCTCTCTATAAAGGCCGATCAGGAGAGCTGGATCTGATCGATATCGACATAAACGCGAGTGAAGTATAACCGGACGCGAGAGAGAGATCAGGGGTCTCATTTATAAAGGGATATACGCTCAAAAAGAAACTGCGACACCGTTGGCAGAAGGACGAATGGAGAGAAATATGTGGAAATAAAACCATAAATAAAATGTTACCTCTCATTTATCATATATGAATTCATTTTCAAACATTGATTAAAGCCAATCTTAAAATGATTAAACAAACGCCTGTTTGAGACTCCTCAGTGCACACAAAAACATAACTTGGAGAAATAAATAAACGCACAGGCTGCAGTGGAGACGCTGCGCACAGCTGATCGACAGCTGGAACACAAACCATCAAATACAAAACAATAATTCAGATCCAGTCGTCATGACTCCACACCGGAGGGATTCCCCGATCACTTCTTACAGTCTCTCATCAAGGAGGGGTCTCCTGTCCCCGGTACAAACACACTGCCTGAGGAAGGCTATGTGTATTGTTTTTGTCATGAACCTTTTTCGGACCACTTATTTATTTATGTTGGTGACGATCCGACCTCCATGCTGCTACTCTGGTTCAAACGGCATCCACCAAACAATATGATTTATCTCCACCTCCCCAAAATAACCAGAATCTGACACGGTGTGAGATGTCTTTTTTAGCTGTTCTGTCGTCATTTCCTGCGATCTTCTTCATAAAGTCAGTCAGAATGAATGAATGGGCGTTTCTTTGACTATGTATAGGCAAATATGGGCGTTACGTGAAGCCCGCAAAAGCTGCACCGCATTTCGAGTCGGTTGTGATTTATAAAAGGAAACCGGCGTAGGAAGTGCTGTACGCACTTTCCTCGCCGGTGCGCAATGTTTGGTGAATCGGAACATTTCGGAAATGTTCTGTACCTATTTTTTGGATTTCTACTAAGTAAGCAACCTTCCCCTACGTGAATCCTACGCACGGCGTTATAAATGAGGCCCCAGATCAGCTGCTGAGTCTGACGGAGACACGCAGCTCTCCATAATCACCTGAAGCTCCGCCCTCTGTTTAGCGAGCTGACCGGACTGCGCAAAATGCGTATATGAAGTGTCATGAACGCAATAAATCATACCCTCGTGGGGGCGCGCTCATGTGATTGGCTTAGAATGAAGGAGACATCTGATTGGCTATAGATAGAAACAATTACAAGTATCCTACGAATCGGGTGAGCGTCAGGGGAGTCTAAAAAAACCCACACACGAATGCACAGCGATCCGTGCACAGAAAGCGGTTTGTGTTTGCAGGTGCAGCGGTTTTAAACGGAAAACAAATATGTGAGGATCAAAAATACATATGTAAAACTTTTTTCTGTATTTGGATTTTATTTACATGTATATGAAACGGAACACATTTGTGTGTGCATTGAAAAACACAAGTGTGGATCCGGAAATACAAGTGTGAATCCTTCTGTGTGCATGTGTGTATTATGAGACTGTTCTGAGTCCATATACCTGCTCTTCACGTAGCTCTGCATGTCGTCGTTTAGGTGCTTTTTTTTCTGGAGATAGCCACTCCTCAATCCACTCCATAGTAAGACCCCCCCGGAGGTCGAAGTTCATCTTAAATGTTTCCATCTTATGCTTTGTAAATTTGTTTCGTAACGGAAGAAATGTAAATATATTTATAAAACGGACTATTCAAATCAAGCAATCTGATTGGCCGATAGTGTTTTTGCGGACCTCTTTGATTACAGATTTGAAAACATCGTTGCTTGCTTTAAAAGTAGCACACTTCATTATGTCAAACCTTGGAAAGTATCTAGATATCCCTGCCCTAATGCCAAAGGAACTGCACACTGAATATGTTTGCTTTTCAACCCAACTCAATACAGTTTTTCTCAGACGCGGAGGTATACTGACTTGTGAAAAGTAACAATTCGACCCATGGTATACGCTCAGTATATCACGGCTAAGAACCAATCAGATTGCTTGATTTGACTAGTCCGTTTTATAAAAGAACAATATACACTTCTCGCTAGAAATCTAATCAAAAAGCATTTTAATGGCCAAACTATTCCACAATTTAGGATTTTCCAGAGAGGGTTATTTGTGAATAAACGACCCTCCGGAGCGTTTGCAATCAACGGGAGCATGTTGTTTCTTACACAACCACTAGAGATGCTATACTTTAAAACGTGACTATGGGTCGTAATTAGTAAAAATATGGTCGTCTTTTGTAGGAGGACAGGCTGCTAAGAACACACTACCTGTCAGACTGCCAAACATCATCACTGCAAAAGAATGGCTTCCATACTGTATGTATCATTTATCTTTTGCTCTTTCTGTTTTTGCTGTGAATGTCAAATATTTGAGTTTTTTCACAATTTTTGCAACTCAAGCAATTCCCTGTAGAAAGACAGAAATGATGACACAATCAAAAAGTTGAAATTCAACCAATGGTGATGAAGGTTTGAAAATATATCTAAACCATGCTTTATAAAAATGTTTGCAACAAAAGGACAGAATCATAACTATTGTCCAATTCGTCCTGTTCCATGGTAAGTGGTGTAAGAACACGGCAGGTATAACATATAATAAAGGCCATGGAAGTCACACAATACCAGCTGGCGATCAAGTCAGGACCCTTCCCCTGTCTCTTTGAAAATCAGAAAAAAAAATACAAAGACCAAATGATATGTTGTAGTGCAGGCATTGATATTAAGCAGATACAACAATATATTAACACAGACTCATGGGAAGCATTAATACATTTTATTTCAGGTAAAACAACATTAAACAACATTTACAGAAGGACATTACATCTTCCATAATAACAGTACATACGGGTCGTAACAAATAATGCAACAGCTATTCTACTGTATACTATATTGTTCACTGGATGAAGTGACCGACAACACTTCTGTTTTCCAAACCACTAGTGAAAATCATCTATTTTCAGTGCAGCATACAAAAAGAAAACGCAAGAGAAGCTTCATTGAAAAAAGTTGCAAACACAGATTCATTGTTCAGCACAGCGAGGATGCACGTTGGAAGTGTTCCAAATGTTTTTCCTACCAAGACCACCCCCCTCCTCGAGATAAAGAAAGCCAAAAAACAGATATGATTTCTCTTTGATAGCATTTAGGGAAGGGGACCTTTGAAACCCTGTATACAAACAAAGTGGAAGCATCACGTTTTGCCTTCATTGAAGGTGTGTCACCAACTGATCCATTTCCACCTATGACCTTTCTAGTATTATCATGTTTTCTGTCACAGTGCTATATGTGCAACTCCACCAGTCTTTCCTTGACTTTTTTTAATGAAATATATGACTAACATTTAAGTGCCTTTAGGAACTCAGCTCACACAGGACTAAAAAATATACGTTTTTGTACAAGACTAGTAAGAGTGTTGAGGGGCAAACAAAGCGATGTGTGCCCCACCGAAAGGAGAATCATGCCAACATAATAATTCAGCTGCTAATACTGCCGTCGACACTGCCCAGCCACGAGGCATAGCTCCATGGTATTAACCCTCTTCTGTCATGGCGCTTCGCTAGCTTTACCCACCCCTCTCCTCCCCTTTTTTTCTGCCGCACAATCTCAGCCTGGGGATGACAGTAAGAACCTGCGAGATATCTTCCAGTACAGCGTTTCTATGAGCTCTCCTCAATCTGTGGTAAAGGTTCAAATCGAGGGATGATATTTACATTTGTAAGATGGGCTGGTTTGCTTTGCGTCAGGAAAAGCAAGATAGTTATACAGTACACTGTATACATGTGTATTTATATTTATATATATATATTTATCATTAAGGGTAAAGCAAGTGCATAAAAGGGACCATACAGGTTGGAATGTAGGGAAAACTGATTTTTATTTAAAGTGCATTTTCAAAACGCTGTTTTGGTTTCAATGGTTTATTTAGCCTCAGAGCCACTACCCTCTCTGTGGAACTCAGTCAGAGCACTTCATGATCAGATTCTTTCTCATCATTGCTTTCCCTCCTTTAAATGATAAGATCAGATATATATTTTTTGTTAATCTTAACTGAAGTTGTTATACTGTAAGAGTTATAGGAAAAGTCTACAGTCATTGTTCTGCGCACAAATCCAATCCAAAGTTCAGCCACAAATAATATTCAGCACAACAAGATGCTAGTCAAAGTCCTTTCCATATACTACAGAATTTATTTTGGTTTCATTTTTCCTCTCTTCAGTGAAGCTTCATGTACATCCTGATCTCATTGCTGAGTCAATGTTGTTTATGTTGATACAATACGTTTTCTACCTCAGCCAAACTTTACAAATGATACTTTTCGTGAACTCCCAACTCATTGGAAGATTTTAAAAAACACAGAAACATATGAGCTATTTTTCTTGAGAGAAATGTGTGTCAACTAACTTCCACAAGTTAGGCTATCTCAGACTGTGGAAGCCCCATATTAGTTACAGCTGAACTTTGGAATGCATTTTGAAATATATCACTTCATAGCAGGTATGGAGAAGAGGGATGATTACATTACGCGAGTGTTATATAATGATAGACATGAAGAATGCCCCCCCTGTCCTTGAATGCAACAGACTGCAAAGCAAAGGGGGCTGCAGGGTTACACTGTACTGTAGCTGAAGGGAAATCTAGCAGGCAAGACATCTATATTATAAATGTGTGTGTGAGTGTGTTTGATAGGCCGTGGAGCAACATTATAACCATCAACAGTTCTCAATCGTTTATTTGCAGCCTCCTCTCTTCGGCGAATCAACAGTGCAGTGCCAATATTATTGTTAAAGAGGAAGCCATTGTATTGATAGTACTTCACAATTATCACCATACATCTAAGCTGTAATATTCAGATATTTTCACACCAAACATAAAAAGAAAGAGCATAAAATAGTATAAACTTCTTGCAGATGATATCACGTTATACATCTGACTTTCGTATTGAGTCTTAAAAAGTTTGACAACGTTAAGTAAGGGTAGGATGTTGAGGGGCACACATGTAAGAGCAGTCTCTGTATGTGGAGGAGGGATTGATCAACGTTAACCACCCCTATATCTCACACACTGCACACACACTACACACACTGAAACTTACTCATCCATACACTTGTTTAATTTGCCGGATAAAAATAGCTCCTGATTCATCTTAAAACGTATCAGGCCCGTTTGGCAGAATGCTTGGCCTCCACTATTGCTGCTGGCAGAATTCTTTAGGACCACTGATCCAAACTAAACACTTCCTTCAGTCCTCAACAATACAACCGACAAGTTTGAATCAAGTAGTTATCAGATCAACACTAGTCGAATAACTCGCAAGACGGACGAAGACTCATTCAATTTAGTCAGATGAACTAAACAAATCTGCAGTTATTGTCATAAATCTTCTGATCCTGATAGAATATTGCAGATATTTGGATGGTATTAGATAAAGTGAAAGGGAGGATTGTCCTGGGCTAAATCAACGACAGGCCACACAAACTATTGCCTTGGTATTTAATCCTTTGTACATTAGCTCATATGCATGGATGGAAGCACCAATGCTTAGCCCGTGTTTAATACACTAAAACACACACAAACACAAACCACACACACACTTTCAGCTGTCCTCAGTAAGGTTATTGCACACTGGTTGGTGCTGTCCCTGTTTCTTATGTGTGCACCGTCAACATCTCCAGCAGAGACCTTCTACGTCAGAGGGGCTTCCAGCTGACTGAACTGAACTCATGGGGGTCCATTTGAAACATTACATCAACTATTTTACCACAAGGGTTTGGCCATCATTCTAATGGGTATGATCATATTTCACTCACAAACGTTTCTGTTGCATTGCAAATATTGAAAAGTCCACAAAAATGATTAATAGCAAATATTAGAAACCCCTGTCTACAACTATTCCAAAGTGCAAATGAGAAAGTGTGAGGCTTGTTAGTTAATGGGTGCACCAAATATGCAAATATATTTGATCTTTTTAGTTTTTGTACGTGTTGTGTGGCGCGTTGTATATGCAGATGAGTCTCTTTCCTTCAGCCCAGAGGCCTCACAGACTACACTGAGATGATGTCACACATACAAATAGCTTTTATTGCCTCTGGGAAAGTTTGACAGTTATGTAAACTGTTGGAAAACTCTTAATACAGAGAATAATGATTGATCTTGGTTGCAGTTTGAGGTATTCTGCAGTATCAACAGTTTACAGATGTATCTTTTATTATTATTTCCCATAAGGAAAACACCAATAATTAAATGGTAAGTAAAAACACAAACCCACGACTTACCACTAGCTTAAAGCTATCAGCCGCGTGCACCAGTCATTAAATGGAAGTACAGCCTTTAAACTAGATGCATATGAAACATTTCTTAACATGTAAAATAGCGTTTTAAAGAAGCACCTCCAATATGGCTGCCAGAGGATGTGTTACACCAGCAGAAACACCTTATTATTATTACTATCGCTCTGCGGTTCCACACATTACAGTTCAATCTGGTAAGAAAGAAATGGAAAACTAATTATTTCGTGGTCTGCAGTGTTTTTGTTTACTAGAAGAGGTTTGCTTGTATGCACGTCTCCTGTGTGTTTGTTGAGTTGTGTGTCTTGGCATGAGCAGTAAAGTGGTGAAAAGATGAAGCAATATTAAAATGGTCCATTACATAGTTTCTAGATGAGTATATCATACATAGAAATATACATTCTTAAATAGGAGGCTAGTTACAAACACAAAACACACTATGTACCAATAGTAAAGTCCATTTGTTTATACTGTAACCGTGATATATGAGTGACTTTATAAAAAGTAAACAAAAATTCGTATGCAAATAATAGCCTGAAATCTTAGGTACCGTTCATAATGCTCACATGCATTCATATCTATACTCGATGCTTATGCTTTCTCGTGCACACGGCACTCGCGCACGCACGCACACACCCACTCACACACATTGTGAAGGTAATAAATAAAGAGAACTGGTGCTCCTCCGCTCGTCTGGATGCTCCGTCTCAGCATCTCTGTCTTCAGCTTTCTTTACAGCAGCCGCCTGAAACACAGCAGAACAACAGTGTGTCAGGGTTAGGGTTCACCTAGTGACACTACAACATACACACAATCACATCTCACATTCATGCTAGAAATCATCAGAAGTGAGTGTGTGGGTTTAAACTTTATAAGAATGGCTGTCATCATGTAGAGCAGGGCTGGCCAACCAGTCAGAGGTTAAGAGCCACATTTTTTCTATGTTACTGCAAAGAGCCACATCAAACACACAGTCACTGATACCGCTTGTTTCAGTTTTTTGTTTTCTGGAGACAAGATTTCAACCACGTCACTGATGCATTTTTGTGGCATTGGGATATATATTTTTTAAATCCTCTGGAGCAGAGAGAGGAGCTGTGGATTATTGTTATTGATTATTGCATCAGTGTTTCTTAGGGTCAAAAACACTAAACTCACAACTTAAAATGAAAGCGTTTAGTTTATTTAATAAAAGAGCACATGTTCAATGTGAAAAGTGACAGTAGTTATAGATTATTTGCAATTTGGTTCGATATATATTTAAAAAAAAAAATTATATATATATTTTTTTTTAAATACCTTGAATTTCAGGGGGGGGCGCGGGGCTCCGTTGGCGGGGCGCAGCGCCCCTCCAAGACAATGGTAGGGGAAACACTGGATAATGTTTAATCAACGATAGGTTTTCCCCCCCATCAAAGGTGATTGGTTCACTGCATCGCAGGTATTATTGTGATTGGCTCTTGGGCCACATAAAAATTATACGCGCTGTCATCCTCTCATACTGACACCACACATACACCACATACATAACACGGGACGAAAGTAACGGAGCGATTTTATCCGAGCCCAAACAACTTTGACCGGCCAAATTACGTCAGAATTATCAGCATTCAATACTTAACAGACCTACTAAATATCAGGTTTAACTGTCAGGAGTAGCTAGTGTTGTCACGATACCAACATTTTGGTTTTGATACCAAGTCAAGAATTGCGATTCCGATTCTTTTTCGATATTTTCTTTAAAAAAGGGAAACGGTCTTAAATGTAATTATTGTGCTTTATTTCACACCAGAACCATAACCATAACACAAACTTTTAAACAATGAGAACAATAAATACAATAAATGACAAGAATTCGTATTAAATCAAATTAATAAATGTCTGACAGACAGGCCTCGTGGTGTCCGTAGGCTTGCCCTCACTGTCAGAGATATCGCTCAAATACTTCCAAATTTCGCTTCTGGCGTCTTTCTTGTCAACAAGCCGAGGCGCAGCGGCAGTTGCACTCCCACTTGCAGCCATGCTTCTCGTTTTCTCACATGCTCTGGCAGCTAGCGCGTGCACGAGAGAGGGGAGGCACTTAGAGCGTGCTTGAGAGGGGAGGGGCTGCAGGCACGGCTACAGTGCAGGGAGTGGAAGCAGAGCGCTGAACACACACGGCTCTTATTAAAACGGCGCTTTCTCACCGGAGTACTTTTCCCCGTCATTCTTAAAGTACCGATACTAATGAAACGGAGGAATCGTAACGTTTTTAACGGCAGGGTATCGCGGTACCTTTCAAGTATCGGTACACCGTGCAACACTAGTCAGGAGTCAGTGTCTCTCCCCCAAACTCACACATATAAAATTCGATATGAACTGAAGAGCCGCATGAAACTAGGCAAAGAGCCGCATGCGGCTCGAGAGCCGCGGGTTGGCCACCCCTGATGTAGAGGTAATACCATGAGTGATGAACCATTTGATCTTTTTGTAGTGAAGTGATGTTCAGTTGTATATTATATGATAACATTAGAGGATCACCATGCTGCTATCAACATGTTCTCCAGGTTTCTGACGCTCTGACTCAAGCCGTGTTTCCTCTCCACACCAATTCATCAGTGGACTTTCTGTAGGCCACTGGTGTCTCTCATTACTGTCTTTGTTGAAGCCATTTTAAGGAATAGTGTGGCATTTTAGGAAATAACTATTTTGCTGTCTTTCTGGACATTACATATGACTGACATAAATCTCATATCAGTCACTGCACTAAGAATGGACCAGCCTGAGGACATGATTACCTTAGCTTAGCATACAGACAGAAGGTTTGGGAAACCAATAGCATTCAATCTCCAATGTGAAAACGGATGGATAAAGTGGTAATAAATACATATTTCCAGCATGTATCTCCCCCTGCAACCACACAATGTTCCTGGCTTTAGTCACCTAAAAAAGTCCAACTAAAACCACAACACGTCTGCTAACTGTTAGCAGAGTAAAAAGTGCCATAACAACAACTTTAGTAATATGTGAAGGGTAAGCTATGAAGAGATATAGGAGGAACACTAAAGACAAGGATAGAGTGAAGGGTCGAAACGGGGGGAAAAGATGAAATAGAAAGAGTACAGAGTGCTGTAGGAAAGGGAATAGGGATGAGAAGAGAGGAGAAAAGGAAGAGGGAGCAGAGAAGGGTTAGGGGGAGTAAAGGGTGAGGAAGAGGAGGGAGCTGTGAACGTAGTCATCATTCATTGCCTGTCTCAAGTCCTATACTCTTCACCTCCTCCTAACCAACTCCGTCCTCAGTCTCTGTGTTGTAGAGAGTTCCCAGTGGAAGCCAGGATGAGATGAGATATGTGTTTATCCTGACTCCAAAAATAAGCATATTATACATTTTCCTATGTTCATCATAACCATGTGCTTCTTGGTTGAATTTATATGAAGGTGCTTTTAAATGGTGAGTACAATATAAAAGCAGTATCATATGTCTCATTTGTGTAGGTGCAGGTGTCAGGGGGTGGGGGGGGGGGGGGCAGGGCTGGATTAACTCGTAACAGCCCGGGGAAAACACAAGCTGCAGCTACAGTACGTGTTGAGCCGGCTGGTTGGAATTGAATAAAACACAATTATTTAGGAATACGTACCACGCACTGTAAGAATACGTACCACGCACTGTAAGAATACGTACCACGCACTGTAAGAATACGTACCACGCACTGTAAGAATACGTACCACGCACTGTAAGAATACGTACCACGCCCTGTAAGAATACGTACCACGCACTGTAAGATACGTACCACGCACTGTAAAGGAATACGAACCACGCACTGTAAGGATACGTACCACGCACTGTAAGGATACGTACCACGCACTGTAAGGATACGTACCACGCACTGTAAGGATACGTACCACGCACTGTAAGGATACGTACCACGCACTGTAAGGATACGTACCACGCACTGTAAGGATACGTACCACGCACTGTAAGGATACGTCCCACGCACTGTAAGAATACGTACCACGCACTGTAAGGATACGTACCACGCACTGTAAGGATACGTACCACGCACTGTAAGGATACGTACCACGCACTGTAAGAATACGTACCACGCACTGTAAGAATACGTACCACGCACTGTAAGAATACGTACCACGCACTGTAAGAATACGTACCACGCACTGTAAGAATACGTACCACGCACTGTAAGAATACGTACCACGCACTGTAAGAATACGTACCACGCACTGTAAGGATACGTACCACGCACTGTAAGGATACGTACCACGCACTGTAAGGATACGTACCACGCACTGTAAGAATACGTACCACGCACTGTAAGGATACGTACCACGCACTGTAAGAATACGTACCACGCACTGTAAGGATACGTACCACGCACTGTAAGAATACGTACCACGCACTGTAAGGAATACGTACCACGCACTGTAAGGAATACGTACCCACGCACTGTAAGAATACGTACCACGCACTGTAAGAATACGTACCACGCACTGTAGAATACGTACCACGCACTGTAAGAATACGTACCACGCACTGTAAGGATACGTACCACGCACTGTAAGAATACGTACCACGCACTGTAAGGATACGTACCACGCACTGTAAGATACGTACCACGCACTGTAAGGATACGTACCACGCACTGTAAGGATACGTACCACGCACTGTAAGGATACGTACCACGCACTGTAAGAATACGTACCACGCACTGTAATAATACGTACCACGCACTGTAAGAATACGTACCACGCACTGTAAGGATACGTACCACGCACTGTAAGAATACGTACCACGCACTGTAAGGATACGTACCACGCACTGTAAGAATACGTACCACGCACTGTAAGGATACGTACCACGCACTGTAAGAATACGTACCACGCACTGTAAGGATACGTACCACGCACTGTAAGGATACGTACCACGCACTGTAAGAATACGTACCACGCACTGTAAGAATACGTACCACGCACTGTAAGGATACGTACCACGCACTGTAAGGATACGTACCACGCACTGTAAGGATACGTACCACGCACTGTAAGGATACGTACCACGCACTGTAAGGATACGTACCCACGCACTGTAGATACGTACCACGCACTGTAAGAATACGTACCACGCACTGTAAGAATACGTACCACGCACTGTAGGAATACGTACCACGCACTGTAAGAATACGTACCACGCACTGTAAGGAATACGTACCCACGCACTGTAAGAATACGTACCACGCACTGTAACGATACGTACCACGCACTGTAAGGATACGTACCACGCACTGTAAGGATACGTACCACGCACTGTAAGAATACCGTACCACGCACTGTAGAATACGACCATACCACACGCACTGTAAGAATACGTACCACGCACTGTAAGAATACGTACCACGCACTGTAAGGATACGTACCACGCACTGTAAGGATACGTACCACGCACTGTAAGGATACGTACCACGCACTGTAAGGATACGTACCACGCACTGTAAGGATACGTACCACGCACTGTAAGGATACGTACCACGCACTGTAAGGATACGTACCACGCACTTGAAGATACCCGCACTAATACGTACCACGCACTGTAAGGATACGTACCACGCACTGTAAGAATACGTACCACGCACTGTAAGAATACGTACCACGCACTGTAAGAATACGTACCACGCACTGTAAGGATACGTACCACGCACTGTAAGAATACGTACCACGCACTGTAAGGATACGTACCACGCACTGTAAGGATAC